TTCTCTTCTTTCAACCGTCCTTTCTACACCTGATGAAGGCTCTGAATAATTGTCCTTAGAACCTTCACACAGAAGTGCAGCTCAGATATGATCTCTGGGGCCACCTGATTTTGCCACAAAACGTTCTCCCATCAATGCCCACAGTTCCAGGGGATATGACAAGTGCGGTTACACTTTGGCGCCTGCTAAAAAGATTCTAGTCTTAAATTGCACCGAGTCTGGTCCCTTCCAAACAGCTCTTCACTGTAGTGTTGCCCAAATCGCAGAACAGACACGGGCCTTTCTTCCTGTGCTCTGGACCCATTCCCATATGACCTGCCATGGGGCTAAGGTTTGTATCTCTGTGAAACAATTTGCTGAGAAAACATCCACAAGGCCTGACAGGTGGTTTATTAAATTATTTTTGATGGGTTTTTGCTGAGTAGACATTGACCATAACATAAGGCAAGCACTTCCATGCCTCTGAAATTGTGCTATCTTACTGTGTGTCTCTTGAATAAAGAAATTGAGAAAAGTTACCTATAAAAAGTCTGGCTGACGGAATTAATCTATAGCCCACTAACCTACCCATTTACTCAGTACTTACTTCCAAGTGAAGTATTATCTCTCAAGAGAAATCATAATAGACCTTACACTGGAAAGAAAATACTTCATAGTTTGCAAGAAATTTTTTCAATAAATCGGTAAGTTAGAGATGGTATGTTGTTAACGTTCTTTTACAAATACAGGAAATGAGGTTTGTTTAAGTTTATTTGGAGATTATAAAGCAAGAACCCAAACCCAGATCTTTAGACTCTTAGGCCAGGACACTTTCTACCCAACCGGCTACCTAGAGAGACCATAAAGCCAAGTGGTTAAGAGTGTGGCATCTGGACCCATACTGATCAGGTGAAAATCTTCGTTCTGTCGTCTACTGCTGTGAGCTTGCGTGAGTTCCTTAGCCTCTGACCTCAATTTCCTCCTCTTTAAAATGAGGACATTCTGGAAACTGGTATGGAGTTTCCTCAAGAAGTTAAAAATAGAGCTACCCTACGACCCAGTAATTGCACTGCTGGGGATTTGCCCCAAAGATACAGATGTAGTGATCCAAAAGGGCACATGCACCCCAATGTCCATAGCAGCAATGTGCACAATAGCCAAATTGTGGAAGGAGCCGAGATGTCCTTCAACAGACGAATGGGTAAAGAAGATGTAGTCCATATATACAATGGAGTATTACTCGGCCATCAGAAGGGATAAATACCCACCATTTGCATCAACATGGATGGAACTGGAGAGAATTATACTGAGTGAAATAAATCAATCAGAGAAAGACAATTATCTTATGGTTTCACTCATGTGGAATATAAGAAATAGTGCAAAGGATAAAAGGGGAAGGGAGGGAAAACTGAATGGGAAGAAATCAGAGAGGGAGACAAACCATAAGAGACTGCACTCTGGGAAACAAACTGAGGGGAGGGGTGGGAAATGGGGTAACTGGGTGATGGGTATTAAGGAGGGCATATGATCTAATGAGCACTGTGTCTTATACAAAACTAATGAATCATTGAATACTACATCAAAAACAAATGAAGTACTATATGTTGGCTAATTGCATTAAAAAAAAGAGAATAGCTCTAACAAGACTGCCACGAGGACCACTGAATAAATATACCTGAGAAAATTAAAAGAGTGTCCAGTACATAGTAATCACACCGCAGATGCTAGAACACCATTACTATGTGGGTGGTTACCATGAGCCTAACACCATATCCACAAATCAGTGAAGAGTGCTCTAACATGATAGAAAGTACTAGGCTCAAATCCTGCTTTGTTATGAGATCCTGGGAAGTGCATGTTTTAAATTAAATTAAATTTTAAATTAAATATGTAATATAAAAATATTTTTAAATGTGGGACGTCTGGGTGGCTCAGTCGGTTAAGTGTCCAACTCTTGATGTCAGCTCAGATCTTGATCTCAGAGTCATGAATCCAAGCCCTGTGTTGGGCTCCAGTGTGGAGTCCACTTAAGGAAATGTATATATATATATAGGAAATAATTTGCTGAAAAAATATATATATATAAATAAAATATATTAGATTCTAGAACTGGAAACTTAGGCTTTGAAAAAATAACCTGCCATGTTGTGAATAACATGTAAAGAGAGGTCCACACGGAGAGAAGCATGGGCTTTCTTATTGACTGTTCCAATAAAAAAAGAAAATATAGGGCATCCTTTTCTTATTTGAGGGAAAAACATTATATGATCAAAAGGGAAAGCCTAGTAGAAAACAATCAATTGCAAAATTGCTACGTAACTAGAAGGCATCCTTACACTCTCACTGGGACGTATGAATACCACAACACAGTTTGCTTTAGGACTTATAAATCAAAGTTAAAATTAAGTGAGCTCTAGAAAAGGACCTGTATCGGATGTGAACTTGGTCCTAAATTTCAGTTTCTGGTGAAATGTCCTGCAGCTCTTGCTCACAGACAGAGCCAGAATGCAAACAACTTTTTCTCTTCTGTTATTCAAATTCTATTCTGGTAATATTAATTAGCGGTGGTTAAAAAAAAAAAAATCAAGGACAATAATAACCACGAATAAAAATGTACTAGCACTCTTCCTACCAAGCCACCAGCAGCACAAATCTTCCAATCCTTTGATGCCAAGGGCGGCTGTTGGAAGCAGGAAGAGCCCTAGAAGGGGGGGCTGTGATTGCATCACTTCATCAGCTGAGCCTCCACAAGTGGTTTATAATTTACTTGGTAGAAACAGATAGTCAAACATTGGTCAAGTTCCCTGAAAGGCATCCAGAAGGTTGTCCTTGCTTAGTGCGCTGACGGAGGGCTGGAAAGTGATGTCCAGTGACCGTGATCCCTCACGTAACAGGGATGGCGCTACGGGACTCGGTCACTTTGCTGTCCTTTCGAAGGAGACAGACCACAGATAGGAGGACAGGAGGAATGGTTCCTAATAAGAGACCAGATAAGCACTAGTTCCAAAACTAAAGTCAGAGCGATAGGTTATAAAAACTTCTAAGAGCTACTTTGTGCATTGAAGAAAATGTGTGTTGTCGGAAGTCCGCTTACGAAATCACTAAATGAAAAATAGGAAGCGTATCACCCCTCGATGTTTTTTGATGATTCTGGCAGGGATGCACACCTTTCACACTAATGTTAGACTACCCTTTTAATAACAGGCACAGCTAGTCCGGTTTTTTGACACCTTTAAAAGGCACAACTTACAGCAAGGACAGCCACACTGCCCATGATTATCTCCATAAGTTTAAGCTCAAACAATCAGGGCTCCTGGGTGGCTCAGTCTGTTAAGGGTCTGCCTTCAGCTCAGGTCATGATCTCAGGGTCCTGGGATCGAGCCCCATGTCCAGCTCCCCGCTCACCAGGGGGTATTTGTCCCTCTCCCTCTGCCCCTCCCCCTGCTCATGCTCTGTGTCTCTGTCTCTTTCTCTCAAATAAATAAAATCTTAAAAAAAAAAAAAGGCTCAAAAATCATGCCCATGATATTGTTACAGTGGTCTGAGACATGGCAGATGATATGTGAAAATAAGGTGGAGATTCCCTGGGGCAGATTTTTTTTTTTTTCAGGTTTAGGATGAGATTTTGTCTAATCATTCAAATGTACAAGATTCAAATATTTGCAACCCGTAGAGTCACAGACTCGACACAGCTGGAAGGACCCAGAGAAATTATTAGTCCAAGCTTCTCATTTTATGGCAGGTCAGCCCAGTGAAGGTGACTGCTGGGCTTCAAAGCAAGAGAGCAGACCCAGGGAATCCAAGAAGGAGAATGGAAATTGGGAATGTGTTGCTCAAGGCCCTCCAGCCCCACTGGCAGGCTCTCACTACCCCCTATCCTTCCTATGAAGCAGAGAACTACATACTAACTGAGAGCAAATGTGTACCCCTAGAAAAAAGGAATTCAGAACTTTCTTTGTCCTCCTCCATTCCACCCCAAGTTTCCTGTGCAGGCAGCCCACTGTCCTCACACACAGCTCCACCTTTTCAGGGCCTTCCCCCCAAGAGTGAGCACAGCATTTGCAGCCTCTCCAGGACCCCAAGGTACAAAGCAAAGGGCCCCCTTTCTCTGCAGTTCCTACTAGAGCCAGAAGTTGTAGACTGTGAAAACACATTCCTCCTTGCACGCCTTTACAATCACATGGAGCATAAGCAGTAAAGAGGCTGGTTTTGCTTGAAATGCAGAATTTCTGCAAATCAGCTTATGGCTGGTTTGGCCACAAGAATGGCTGTTGTACATCACATAATCCATCTTTGTCATTTCCTCCCCCATAAGCCCGAGTGGCTGTGTCCTGTGGTATAAGGGGCTGGGTGGTGTCGGGGGGTGGGGGGGGGTGGGGAACGCCAAGCGGGGAAGGGATGTATGCGCAGGTGCACTGCAGTAGTTGCTGCCCTTGAGAAATGATTAGATTGTTTTACAGCAGGTAACCGCCCAGTGAAGGTGACTGCTGGGCTTCAGAGCAAGAGAGCTGACCCAGGGAATCCAGGAAGGAGAATGGAAATCAGGAATGTGCTGCTCAAGGCCCTCCAGCACCTCCAACACCCTCCCTTCTAATGGCCATTTGTCCACTCGGATTCATTTTATACAACTCCCTGTCCATACATGAACAGGGCTAGTTATTGCTTTAAATGCAGGACTGCTTGATCTAAATGGCCTTGAATGTGGGTTAAACTAATATCATGAGGGAGAAAGAAAAAACTCTCCTGGTGCACTTTCATTGTATACTCTAAACACTGGACAGTGCCTGACTCTGCTAACCAAGTGAAAAACCATTTCCCCACGACACTTACAAAAAACAAGAGAAAGGCTTAAATGTTTAAGTAGTCCTTGCAATACAATATTCTCTTCTCAACTTATCCCACATATATAAACAGCATCATTGTGCAAACAACTTAAAAAACAAAAGACTATCTTATTCTGCTGGACATTACAACCTTTCACTGTATTTTTTTTTAATGCTATGCATAAGACAATGGCTTACCTTCCAGCATTTTCTGCAGACTGCTCCTCATGACATGGATGTTCTCTATCCCGATAAACTGAAACTTGATATTGGAGTAGTTGTCTTCGTTCTCATAGCCTTTCCCTGCAGCACGATTTGCCATTGCATTAAGCTGCGGTGGTCAGCAAAACAGAGCAGTCACCAATGATATTCGGCGCATAAAACAATCAGAACATCTCACCGACGGTGATAACAGCATTCAAAATGGCGTGCGGAAACACAACATGCTTGAAATCACTGGCACATTCTGCTGAGCGAAGTGATTCCAGGCATTCGGGCTGAGCTTATATTCCACAGCATAAACGTGTTGGTGTGAGGAACACTTTCTTAGCGGGAAAGCATTCTACAGATAAACCCTTTTGGAGAGGCCTTTCGCGGTTCCACAAGAGATGACAAATTGAATATAGAATTCTGTGATAGAGCCAGATTGCCCTCACTCAACCAAATGACATAACCTGTAGGTTGGCAGAAGAGTATCAGCAGATACAGCTGGCAGTCCAAAGCTCTGTAACTTAAATTGTATCTTCCAGTATTATATTGCCAAAAAACTCATTATCCAATAGGAATTGTGGTGTGATTTTAATTTGCCTACAAGAATCCCCCAATTAAGCCTTGAGCAGGAGTCACAGACTAAAATGGTGAGTGCATGGAGAACTATCTCCAGAGCCATTTTCTCCAGGCTCTTAATTTCAATCTAGAGACCTGCTAGGAGGGCTTCTGGGCCACTTTCATTACCACAGTGCTGTATTTGGTGGGGATTTCCCAGTACAAACTGGGTTAAAGATAAGGGACTTTGAAGAATTTTGTTAAATGCAAACCTGTGGCTCCGTCCTGTGCGACTAAAACCAGGAAGGGGACAAGTCCTGCCGTAGCTGGGAAATATATACATTTCTGGAATGGGTGTATCACTGCTCAATTCTATCCTTGCTGTTGGGCTAAGCAGGTGGTCACATTCTAGAAAGCACTAGTCACTGATCATGTTCTTTTTCGGTCCACAAAAGGCAGGCAGAGAACTGACACCAGGCACTCACCGCCAGAAAAAAATATATCCATTTCACAAATTAACAAATACTTCTCAAAAAGCCAAGTTTAAAAAAATCTAAAAACCAAGCTTAGTTAAAAGCAAAAATATTCTTTGGCACAGATCTGATCTTTACACAATTAAAACTACCAGCACATAAAGACAGATGCCCAAGGATGTTTATTAAAACTCTATAAAGTAAAAACCTGAAAACCTATGACTATCTCAATAGGGCAACAGGTCGATAAATTATGGTATATTCACACCATGAACTTCTATAAAAAAGACAAAAAGACATGGATTTTAGAAAGAGAGAGAGGAAAAAAAGAGAGACAGACATAGAGACAGACAGACTGATTCAAAATTGGCCCATGACATCATTAAGTGAAAAAAAGTAACCTAAAGAATAATATTCATTCAGTAATCTCATTCCTCATAAAACAACGTACAGATACGGATTTATGCTTATACATGTTTGATTAAGCAGATTAAAGCTACAAACACACACACAAAAACAAAACCTATGAACGTGGATACCAACATGGCAACAATTAGAGCAGAAACACTGAGGTGATAAGCACCAGGGGACACTACAAATACTTTTGGCAATACTTTTGATGCCTCTATATTCTTTGTTACTAAAATCTATTAGATTTGTAATTCAAATAATAGACATAACAGGTATTAGAAGTGAAAAATGAAACAGCAGAGGGCAAGCCGGTGCCACTCAGAGCTGGGGCTAGTGGACACCTCCCTTCTCCATAGAGGTCCTGCTCACAATTTAGTGCCTGTGACATCAGCCAAAGACACTGCTTCCAGTGATTGCCACCTTTTTCCTGGGCATGCTCTGAGAATAAAGGGTTTGGCCTTCCTCAAGAAAAAATAAATAAAATAAATAAATAAATAAATATACACATATATATATATATAAATTATGTTATCTTGAAGACAACTCACGTTTATGCTTTAAAATCTTTAAATATTTTAAGGGGAATTTTTTTCTTAAATTACCTATAGGCATTATTCTTTTGAAATGTACTGTTATAAAATATCACTCCTTTGCATGATTATTTTCCAAAGCTGTTGCCCTATCCTTTATAACAAACTTTATAAAATAAAACAATTAATAGATTACTTGCAAGAATCCTGATGCTACATAAGCCTTGTATTTCTTCGGTATCTTAAATAATTCGAATTAGGCCTCCCTACCACATACTGCAGAAATACCCTTTTTAAATAGTGTAGTAAATAAAACCCCAAATACCATTAGTACTATCCTTTGAATGTATAATTAGAACTCTGTTCATATTCTTACACAGTTGAATCCCTGTGACCTGGGATAATTTGTTTGGTCTTTCAAAGCAAAGGAGCAACACAAGATGGCTTCTTGAAAGTCAATGGTACTTCTCATAATGAACAGAAGATGGCGATATTTAATCTAGCATCCGGAATGTACTTTGTCAAGGTTTCCACAGATTTCACTGGGGACTTATCAGGATAGTATAGCAAATGCTGAACCCTCAGAGCCGGAAGTATGGTTTTAGAATTAATAAAAATTCAAGAAGCTATCCTGGACCTATTTTATAAATTTCCAGATAAAGTCTGCCTTGTGTAAATCAAACAGAATTAGAATAAGTCTAATTTGTCCCCCGTGCCTTTGGCTGAGAACTCCAGCTCTCACGAGCGAAGGAAAAGCTATTCAGCTCAATTCCAAAAAATTCTCAAAGAAGTAAAACAGTGGAGGTAACTGCATTCCAGCTTCAATTTATGCGTAAGGAACACAACAGACAAATGACACACAGAGCTGAGAAAAAATGTTATTTTCTTACCCAAGATCAATCCACTATTTGATAATCTCAGCATCTTTGGGGGCAGAAAAGCTTATCAGTGAAATAAAAAGAACCCACTCATTTCTCCAAAACCCCTTTTTTTTTCTTTTAATTTGAGAGAGAGAGAGAGAGACAGAGACAGAGACAGCACAAACAGAGGGAGAGGCAGAGGGAGAAGAAGTAGGCTCCCCACTGAGCAGGGAGCCCAACATGGGGCCACATCCCAGGACCCCGAGATCATGACCCGCGCTGAGGGCAGACATGTAATTGACTGAACCCAGGTGCCCCTCCACAAACTCTTAATGAACACTGTGTGTCAGATGCTGAACAGAATAAAAAAAGATGAATAAGAAGCTGTTCCTGCCACCATAAACTTGTGAGTGTGGCAGGGAAAGCACACAGACAATAACGGACTGGACCGGCCGGGACTAGGCAGGAGCTGAGTGACCCGCAGAGGCCGGGAGAGTGACAGGAGTTCAAATGGGGACCAGCCCCATGTGGCCTAGGGGACCGGGGATCCCGTCTCATGAAAGCAAAAAGCCTTGAGGTGGACTTAGTCATCTGGGAAATGGAGACAAAGGGGAGGGCATTCCAGAAGAGGTGGGACACGAAATCAAGGGGCAGTTGGGTATCCGTGAGCCAACCGGAGCCGACCTGAGTCGATGGTTCATGGATGGTGGCAGGAGCAAGAGAGGCTAAAAATTTCGAGTCCTCTACAGAGAGGCTGAATCAGAAGGCTAATGGCGGTTGAGAGCAACTGAAGGATTCTGAGCAGGTTTGTTGGAACATTTTAGGATGTCGTGTAGACGGTGGAGAACGTAGGCTCCGCGGGGAGCCTGCAGACCCGGCGTGTGGCCATACGCCTCCGCCCGGCACGCCCGGGGACTCAGGGAAGATTTACTGACGGGCTGACTGGCCGGACAAAGGACTGAATGTCGCAGTGAAGGGGAGAGGTGAACGGGCCAAGAATGTTAAGAAACAGAATCAGGTTCTTCCTGGGACCGTCAATCAATCCACCCGTCAGACACACCAAAACCAGGAGAACTTCGCCAACGATAATCTTGATATCAACTTAATGGCCAGCCTGGTCACTCCAAAGACTACAAGTCTCTTAGCCCTCAGTCTCAGATTTCAGCAGAGCACATTCTGTACCTGCATAATGACAGGAGCTGATCTGACAGGGTTGGGAAATGAGAACAAAAGTTATCTTGGCAGGAGGAGGCCTGGGCCCCAGCCTAGCAGCCAGCGTCACATGACGCTCCTTTCCCTCCCTCCATCTCTAACTGGTGAAATGGAGAGCCTGAACTTGTGACATAACATGAAAATATGAGAAGGCTTGCTTTCTCGCAACTACCGTGTACAACTCTGCGAGTGAAATCCTCCTTTCCTACCCCGGAGGGCATCTTAGGCAGAATGAATAGCTTTTGGCTTACACTCAGAGAGAAAAATCACCATCCAGCTCCATTTTAAATTCCAATCCCATATAAGATACAAAATTATTTCTTTCCCTCATTACAGACTATGGGGACAGGTGAGGGGTCTGCTCTCTGACTCCCCTCCCGTTCCTCTTTCTTCTCGGCCCTATCTGCTTTGGAGGGTGTGGGGGGGAGGTAGGTACAGAAGAGGGATAGGGGTAAACATCTCTTTATGAACCTGGTAAGACGACAATTCTTTCTCTATTGACGTCACTGCTTTTCTGGACATACCTGCCGGCCATCACTGCCCTCTCACTGCAAGGGTCCAAATGCTGCTTCTCCTAGGGCCTGCATGTGGGCTCGTGAAGATACGAGGTACACAGGTTACTGACATGGGAGATCCCTCTGGCTTCAGCCTCTTCTAATCCCCTCAACTTGCCTCCCCAGCAAATACCCTGCAGTCACATGCAGCTGGGGACTGCTAGGGGACAAGCCCTCTTTGGAGGGACACTAGCAAGATGGCTCCTGTGTACTTTCTTCCTCAGTGTGCACTTGACCCATGGGAAATCCCTCCATCCTTGCACTACCCAACAGGGGTGCAGACCACCCCACCTCTCTGAACCCTGCTGTTCTCCAATTCCCTTTCCCCCTGCTCACCACAGCACGGCGGCCGTCAGCAGGGACGGGACACACCCCACTAAAAGAGGAGGTCCTACCTTCTCCTCTTTCAGGTGCCCCAATCTTTACGAAGGATTCTCTCAGAGCCTACCCCCACCCCCCACGGGACTTGGTGAGTAGAAGCCACCTCATTACTGATCCCAGAGAAACACAAAAACAGCCAGCATCCCATAATGCAACTAAAAACCTGCTTACAGGGAGCAATTAGAAACCATAACCACAAAGCCCTCTTTGAGGGAAGCAGCAAGGACAAAAGGCAGAGCATCAGCGGAGGCAGGCGGCCGCCCAACCTCCACCCTTCTCAGCACCGCTTGGGCCCTTCTCAGCACCGCTGGAGCCCTTCTCAGCACCGCTCGGGGCTCCCTCCCAGAGTGCTGGTGGCAGAGTCCAGCTCAGAGCCCTGATGGCCCCTCTGGCCCTGGGCTGATTCTGGATGAGCTTCTGAGAGGTTCTACAGCTCTGTGTCTCCAGCTTCACTACGGTGTGCTCAGAGGTGGCAGCCCTGCTGAGGCTGAGGCAGACGCAAGGCTCCCCGGGACACTGCGGTGAAGGGCATCACGGCCCGTGGGCAGAACCCAGGCTTCGGCCACAGGTGAGCCTGCACCGGCACGCGGGCTCTGTCCTCAACTGTGTGACCTTGGGCACATTTATACTTAACCTCTCGAAATCTAAGCCCTCTCCATAAAAAGAAAACATCTCATTTTCAGGATTACTATAAGAATTAAACGAGCATTTTTATAAGCTCAGCAAAGTCCCCGACTAAAAGTAACACGAAGTCATTGACAAGGTTGACAGAAAATTGAGCTCCTCTCGTTTTATAATTCAACATCCACTGCATCCATATGGTTTCCTATCTTCTTTTTTTTTTTTTAAAGATTTTATTTATTTAACACAGAGAAAGAGAGAGAGATCACAAGTAGGTGGAGAGGCAGTCAGAGAGAGGGCGAAGCAGGTTCCCCGCTGAGCAGGGAACCCCATGTGGGGCTTGATCCCAGGACCCTGGAATCATGACCTGAGCTAAAGGCAGAGGCTTAACCCACTGAGCCACCAAGGCGCCCCGGTTTCCTATCTTCTTAAAACACCAAATCCCAGCAGGAATATATGCCCTCAAGCGCAGAGTTGTTTCTGAGCAGATATTCAATACATGCTGGGACCTCACCACCTCTGCCTCCCAAGATTTTAATGTCAACAAGCAATTCAAAAGGCTTTCATCTCAACAGGCAGCGTGTGGGGCGAGCCTTGCTCTCAGGGCAGGAATGATCCAGATGCCTCCTGATCCCTTCTCTCTGTCTCTCTCTCTCTCTTTTTTTTAAGGTTTTATTTATTTATTTGCTAGAGAGAGACACAGTGACAGAGCGGGAGAAGGAGGCTTCCCACTGAGCAGAGAGCCCAATGTGGGGCTCGATCCCAGGATGTTGGGATCATGACCAGAGCTGAAGGCAGACGCTTAACAACTGAGCCACCCAGGCCCTTCTCTTTTTAATCAAACCAGAGAGCAAGCTCGGGACAGGGCCCCAGTGCCCGCTCCTACCACCTATAGCAACCATGGGCTCCTTTCCCCAGCTACCAAGGAAGCCTAACACTCGGGAACCAAAAGTCAACAGAATTGTTCTTGAAAAGAACGAGAGGCCTAAGCAGACAGTACAGAACTCCTGCGAAGTGTGTGGCTGGGGAAGCAGATACAACAACGGGCCCTCGGATGAGACACCAGTTTTCTTTAATGGGTCAGCCTCAAACTTCTTATCGCCACGAGTAAACACGCTTCGTGCTAAATATACCCTCCAAATCAAATCCTCTGGATTAATTCATTTTAAATCCGGGATGCACCTGGCTCAACAGCTACCACATTTTCCAGAAGGTTTATGTGGTATAGTACACACTTGGATCACCAGCCCTGAAATGAGTAGGTGCATCTGTCTGGCTTTATTTAAATCTGGGAACGCAGGACAGGAGAAGGGCACCCCAATTCAAGAAAGCCCTGCCCATCGTTTCCTTTTCCTGGGCTCCCGCATGTGCCTGAGACGCAGGCATTCTTCAATTCCCCTCGGGTCATGAGGAAATTCCAAGCAGCTGCACTTTACTTACGTGAAAGGTACAATGAAGAGGACAGAAAACAGTTGAGGTTAGAAAGGAGGGGCGGCAGTGCGATCAGCCAGAGAGAAAAGCCCACACCCAAAGAGAACCGTCAAGTCAGAGGGCTCCTGGTGGCTTTCAAGTGAAAATCTGCCAGCAGAGCAGCTTCGTTTTGTTTTTGTTTTGTTTTCCAGCTTGAGATTCTTACCAGTGTGTTTTGTTTTCACATGACTTAAAAGGAAGAGAATTCTCCACGTGTCATCTGCTAGAATAGGCTCCAGCTCTAACATGGGTTTTATCGTTGATCTTGGGACTGATTTGCTGATCTGGTGTCTGGGAAGGAGGCCTTCGCCGCCTCCCCGCCCACAGGTATCCCACCGCTGAGCTGCCATCGGGAGCATGGGACCGCTGGAGGTCGAGGGTATGACTGGGGCGCTGATCTTACACCAGGAAAACATCACATTAAGGGAACCAGGCCGAGAATCACAGTATTTGATGAAATGAGGCTTAGAGAAGCATTGAAAACTGCCAGGGTCTGAGGGCCTACGTAATGGATAATAACCAATTCTCAATTCTCATATGGCCCATGAGTGCAGACTATGTCTACAGTTATGTATTCTTAACGTCCGTGTATATTTTTTAGTGACTGGGGCTGTTGGTCATACTTCCTGCTTCCTGTTCTGATGTTTCTTGTGTCCTTATGCTCTTTTTAAAAATAGCTTCGTTGACACATAACTCCCAGGCCGCACAATTCATCCGCTCAAAGTGCACAATTCAGTGGTGTTTGGTGTATTTACGGAGTTGTGTAACGATGACCACATTCTATTTCTAGAACACTTTAATTCCCCCAAAATGAAACCCTCTACCCATTAGCTGTCACCTCCACTTCCTCCAGTCAGTCCTCTTAGCCCAAGGCAACCACCAGCCTACCTTCCGTCTCTATGGATCCGTCTGTTCCAGACATTTCACACAAACGGACTCATACAAGGCATGGGCCCCTGTGACGGGCTTCTTTCCCTTAGGGTAATGTTCTCAAGGTCCATCTGTGTTGTAGTATAGAAAGTACTGCTTTCCTTTTTATAGCCAAATAATATTCCACTGAATGGATATACCACATCTTATTAATTCATTCTCAGTGGATGGCCATGTGGTTGTCTCTACTTTTCAATTATTATTAACTATTAAGAAATAGTCACAGGTAAGTTTTTGGTGGACATATGTTTTCATTTCTCTCAAGTTAGGAGTAGAATTCTTGGCTATGTGGTAACTATGTTTAGAATTTAAGGTCCTCGTGCTCTTTGAACCTTTTCATGATTAAAAAAATTTTTGGACTGTAATTATTATAAAGTAAACGATTTCTTAAAATCCTCCTTTTACCCCACAGGAAAAACCACTGTTAGCGGCTTGGTGTATACCACCCCTGCAGATTCTTTAAATGCATAGAGTACTATATAATTTTTATAATTATTATTACATAAATGGGATGACATTATACGTATTTTCTGATTCTCACTCTTGTTGCTCACTAGATCTTGAGCCCTATTCCATGCCCATGTGGAAAGATTGCTACATGTACTTCTCCCTTTCTCAGGCAGAGGGCCAGGCCCGTTTTCATTATTCGCAAGAAATTATCATGCCAGAGATGTTGAATAAGGCCATTTGGCTTTGTTATCTCATTTTGTCTTACAGATGTCCTGCACTGTAGGTGATTAGGTTTCTATGTATTCACTGGCCCATCCCTTTGAGGCTTTGTTTTGTTAACTGATCTACAAACAAGTGGGTCTAAACAGTGGAATGGGAAATTAAATTAGACCTAACACTAATGGTCATTAAAAAAAATGGAAGTCAGGATGGGAGATACCCTGCACGATAGACTTGGCTTACCCCTTGACAACTAGACCTATTATTTCCTGTGGACTCTTTTTTTAAATTATAAAATCAGCATATGAATACATGCACAGTAAAAATACTGTTTTCAAACGAGACGTGTAGAAAGTTCTCCACCTCTCTAAATCCTCCCTTCTCCACGGAATTTTAACAGTTTGGCATTTATCCTTCCAGCTTTTTTTTTTTTAACAGAAACTTTTAGATGCCAGGAGTTTTATTTGACATCAACACAACAGTATGCATATTATTTTGTGATTATGTTTTTACTTGACACTGTATATCGTAAATCTTCCCGAGTCACAGATCCAGATCTCTGCAAGTTGAATCTGAAATGGTGTAGCTGAACGCCTCACAAACACCAAAGTGTGAGAGCGCCACAGTAATTTCTTACTGTCAGAGCAGAAAAGGTCGTTTTAGAAACAGACCAAGAAATAATTTGGTGTATTTAGGAGAGCAAGATGAAGATCAAACCACACTCTTCCGCTGTGTGGACTGTGTACCCAGCACGATGCTAGGAGCAGGGAAACTCTCCAAAGGACCTGATGTGATGAGGAGCCTAGGACACCCCCTGGAAACTCACAGGTGCAAACACACGCACCCGCGGAGAAACACTCACTGAACAGGGTGGCCCCATCCTGACTATACAAAGAGAAGCAGCCCCTTGGCCGACGAGGCACCCAGAGCGGGGACGACAGTCCATTCCAGGTCCCTGCTGCGGGGCTGCAAAGACATTCACGGAACAGCAACACTTACTTTGGGCCGCGTGTCCACGACGTAAATGAAGTCGCTCCCGGGATTGGCTTTCCTGATGGCCTGGAGCATCTGCTCGTCCTCAAGGCACCGGGCACTGAAGCCGGACAGGGGCTGGCTGCTCCGGCAGATGGAGGCCTGCGGGACACGGCAGCGTCAGTGCCCACCGACACCTCGAGACCCTGTCCCCAACAACGACCCCCTGGGTCCCTGACACCCCCCCACCAGCTTGTAGACATGCCTTCCAAAAATCGAGCTTGGTGTCTTTCTAATTCAGGCCAGAGAAACCACCACCAGGATAAGTAGTGCTAAGTTTCTCCGAGGAAGAAATTAGGAGTGAATTTGGAAGTTTAGATAGGATTTAAGTCATGGAATATAAAACCATTTAAGTAGCCTACTTTCCCTTTCGCTGGTATTATTTCGTTTTCTGTTGAAGGTAGAAATACAAAGCAAATAACTGTTCTCCTACAGTTGACAGGATACTGCTAATAGCAAGACTAGTAAAAAAAAAAAAAAAGTTATTGTGTAATGCTTTCCATCAGTTTTTACCAGCTCAGTTGGAAATATCACAAATACCAAAAACCAGTTCTAATCCTAACCAGGGAAGTTCCCGCTGTGATGGGCTCCCTCTGCACCCAGGACAGCAGCAGGCACAGCCCCAGGCTGCCCAGGAATAGGGGCTCCTCCGCCATCAGTCTGTGTTCTATCCTGCAATCTCTCTGGTCTGCTCTGCGGACAGACAACATCTACAACAGCATGAACCTTTCCCTGCCGTACTAGGAGCGGAGTATGGATACCTCCTTGCAGCTCTAGAACTTATACTTTTGTGGCAAAGTACTTTTTAGGGACTTCAATGTTAACACTTAAAGGAATGAGTCTTGCCAAGAATCTGCACTGAGGCTGCGAGTCCACTGGACGAGAGGGTGGAGGGAGCAGGGCTCCGTGAGGAAGAAAGACCTCCGGCTGGCGACGCAGGGCCAACTCGCTCAACATGGGGGTGGCAGAGCCTGCTGGCCTCGCTCCAGGAAGGGACAACCCAGCTCTGAGTCCAAGCACAGCTTAACTGTCCCTAAAGTTCAGCCCAGGACAACTTAGCTCGGGTTTGGGTTTCCTCCTAAGAAAGGAAGCGTTGGTGCTTCTCCCTGGAGAAGGTGGCAATGTCTCTCGCTAACTACCATCCTTCAGCTGAGGGACCGCTGGCAAGTCCCAGAACTGCCGAGCAGCTGGATGCATAACTGGGCCACTGCCAGAGAGTTCCAGCACGGTTCTGTGACAGCGAGGGCAATCACTGAGGTCGGCCAAGAGTGCTGGCGTGCCTGGGTGCCTCAGTCGGTTAAGGGTCCGACTCTTGGCTTCAGCTCAGGTCTTGGTCTCAGGGTTGTGGGATCGAGCCCCATGTCAGGCTCCACACTCACCAAGGGGTCTGCATGGGATTCTCTTCCTCTGCCCCTCCCCACTCACTCATACTCTCTCTCCCCCACCCCCCCCAAAATAAACAAATAAATATTTAAAAACAACAACAACAACAACAAAACAAAACTCTGGGCCCTGCAGCCAGGTTTTCAGAGTCCAGGAGGGACGCCCATGGGAGAGGGGCAGGCAAAGCAAAGAGGCAGCAGAGTTGCTCCAGAGCTGTGGAATTCTTAAATTATTGGCAGAAGTGCCACTGCAGCCGGGAGGAGAAAGGGCCTGGGGGGCCTAAACCCGGATGGGGACATCCGCAAGAGGGAGGCTCCGGAGGCAGGGACCAAAGGCAGGCTGTAAAGAGAGCCAAGCAGCTGCAATGGGTAGAAGTAAACAGCCCCAGAGGGCTTCTCAGTGCTTCACCGGCAGGTTCTGTTTCTTCAGGCCCCGCCCCCTTGCCCTGAGGGAATTCTGGCAGCTGAGACAACAGCTCTAAGCTGGTTCTACCTGAAACCTCAGAGGGCTCAAGAGATACTAGTTAACACAGTTACCACTGGGTAATTTCTTAGACTATCAGAAGACTCAGACGGGAAGGAAATGCATTTCCAGGGTGAGAATTTGTCTGAGAATGCACACACGACACCTGAAGTCCCTGGACCTGGACCAGTGGGACTCCAACGAGGAAATGAAGCCAGAGAGTGACATCGGCCATCAGTAATTACCTGCAGGACGAGAGCAGCTAGTCCTAAGTGAGGGGTTAAGTCAGAACAGCTCCACGATGAAATGTGGTCAATAAACTAAACCAAATAGATTAAACCAACTACTTTTAATATTTTTGTAGCTATATTTTCTTCATAACCTCTAGATATACTTCACCAGGAATTCTTCGTTGCCTTGGGGCTAACATATAGTTACCAATTTTGTGCGGAGCTGTGAGTAGCCTCGAGGTGTGTCTGCTCACCTTCAATGTACCCCAGCCAGCCCCGCTGTGGAGAGGATGTCACCCTAACCTGGCAGCCTTTCTCACTGATTTCTGTCACCTGAGAGCAGAGGGAAAGTCTTCAATGGTAAACGGTCATGAGAGCCCCTCATTTACAACACTACTCGTAATTAAAATATCCAACATTTTTTGAATGCTTACTATGTGATAAGCACTATTATAAAAACTTTGTGTTATTTTTATTTAATCTTCTCAATTACCATACCCGGGAAAATCTATCATTTGCTCCATTTTATAACTGAGGCAACCAAGGCACAGAGAAGGGAAGTAACTTCCTCAATGTCACACAGCTAATAATTAGGGAAGCCAGAAATTTCATCCAGGCGTAACATTTTCTGATCCTGGACTCTTAAGCGAAATAATACAACACTCACATACAGAAATAAGTCAGGAAGCAGAAATAAGTCAGAGAGAATTAAGATGTGGCATCCAAGAAGGTCTGGCTTTCAATCCACAGTTCGCTCTCCCCGGGTATATGATCTTGGGTAACTGACCTATTGTCTTTGAACTTCGGTTTTCTCATCTACAATATGAGGATAATAATCTCAAAACTACAGACTGTGATAAGGTTTATAATTTTCCTAGAACTATACCTAACACATAGTGAATTTCAATAAACATTAGTTTTAAAAGGAAGAGAAAAGGTCTGTATTTTTCTTAAGGGAAATCCCTCTTTGGAAATCTTACAGACTTTGGTTTCCCAAAGATTTATACTGTGAATTTGGGAGATTGTGCTATTAACCATTTAAAGCAAAACTGCTTTCTTAAAAACAATTGAAACATTAGGACAAAAGAAGAAAGTATACAGCAGTCATAAGGGCTGGTAAATAATAAAAACATGCAGGCTTCCACATGTAAGTGACATTTACAATTTATTCATCTCTAATTGTTACCTATAAAGCTGTTGATAATTTGTTATCCAAAGGGAGTCTGGATGGCTCTATATAACCCTGTGCACTTCAAGGCCTATAATTTTTATTCTGGGCTGCCTCCAACATTGGTAAAATTGGGAGGGTCTCAACTAACCAACAGCAAGTGCCCCTCCATCTCCTGCTCCTACGGAGAAAGCCCCTTGGCTAACCTTTCCTGCAGACCTGAGGAAGCTCCTACTCATTTCTGAATAGAGGCTTTCAGTGCCCTGCCCGCCCATGGAATTCAACAAGCCAATCACATCCTCCCCTAGAAACCTGACATCACTAGAAAATCCCCCAGTCCCTGCTGGTTCACTCTATGCCTGAGTGCCACCCCGGGGGTGCCCTGTATGGTACGCCGTGCACTCCTTCCCTGGGAAGTGAGTCCACACAACTCAGACCACTGACAACTGCTTCTGCCCCGTGTCAGGTGTCATGTGTGCAGCCTTCCCTGGAACCCTAGGACAGGAATCCTCATCTCACTAACGAGTGACTAGGAAGGGATTACAACACCACGTATCATAAAAGTTGATCAGAAAGGAATGGTGTTCCCTCAGCAGGACATTTATATCAAAGGATTCTCCCCAGGACTTCTCACTCATGCAACGACATGCATTTCAGGTCGTAATCTAACACGGATCCCGCTACTACACGAGACAAACCACCTCACCCGCAAAAGGGGCCCTTAAGTAACAGAAGGATATGTGAGGAACTAAAAGATATGATTTTCTTATTCACATGCATTAAGTTTTATTGGGTGAGTGATACATATTCTTAAGTCTAAAATGTCTAAAATCACAAAAGGGAAGAAAGAAAAGTCAGCAAATTTACATAATCCACCCGTTTACTTTCTTTTTTTCCTATCTGTTTACTTTTTTATGGAAAACTGCCTGGTTTGTATATGAGTTTTCCAGAGCAATGACAGCATGAACGGCTGCTTTGTTATGTCACACATCAACCATTTAACCCCAGATGTCCACCTTCATCTCTCTTTCCCTTGATAAAAATCCCTAGGTGCATCAGAAGCATTTACATCATGAACCTTGATACCGAGACCTAAATGTTGTTATAAAACACAAAACAAATCATTCTGTTGTGTGCAGGACAGAGTTTAGTTGCTGGAGGTAGCAGGGAGAGGGTATGCATGTGCGGGCACGTGGCACATGGACTGTTTCCCTGGGGTGACTGGTTCACCGGGGAACGCTCAGAAACACATCTCTATTTTGTACTTTGTAAGAAGAGCTAAGCATGAGGCATTGTCCTCCTGAAAGTTCTAACTACAGGAAATCAATTATTTCCCACCATCCCTGAGGGCTGCATGATTCATTTTCAAGCCTGGAGATCAAGTCAAGAGTGACATCCAAGAGCAGGAATGGAACGAGGAGAAGCTGAAGCCTGCAGGAGAAGAGATTCTGGGGTCTTCCTGCCAACACTTCTTTCCTGTTCCGAGACATCCCACACTTGGCCTTGGCAATACTCACACTGACCAAGATAAGAGTCTCTTTTCTCAAGAACATCAGAACAGAAGGAGAAGAAGTAGGACAGACCCTACGCTCACAATACCCAGCCCACCTTCACCTCTTAAACAACAATGAAAGAACAAAAGATCCTCCCTCTCTTACTTCTTTATCGAAGAATGAAAGTGTCAGTGCTACCGGCATCCTAATTTCAAATACGATGTCGTGAAATTCCCTATTCGCTCCACTTTTTTCTTTTTTTTAAGGGAAATTCACATCATTCTTTCACCACTGCTCTGGCTCTATGAAGGCTGAAATATAGCTGGAGTCAAGGACTACAGAACATTAATAACATAGTTGCCATTTTTAGACCCCAGTGAATGGAACTAAAAGTAAGACAATTTATATGCTTTCAATTAATGGAACTTACACTGCTCAATGAATATTTGCGGCCAAAGCACACAGCACAGAAGGCTGTAAGCCTACTCGGTGCAGATGGCATTGTTCAAGGTATTTCTGGAAACCTCCTCCTAGAATCAGACACAGACTCGAGCCTATGCTCTCGCCCGCAGGTATGCGTGTGTGCATTCACACTCGCACCCATCTGTTGCAATTGTTTATGGCTGTCAATTTGCCTTTGAATCCAAAACTCTATCATCTAGCTTGAAAACCCAACTTTCCACCCAGCTAAAGTTAAATGACTTCTGAAGTGGGTGGCAAAGACCATTCTTGGCTTCCCAAATGCATTTTCTTGTCCTTCCCAGACATGGAACCACAATTTTTAGTTGTTTACACAGTTACCCAGGAAAAGTGTATTTTCTCACCTGCCCTGTGCAGTTCTGACGAAACGGGATGTGAGCAGAAGTGTCTCGTGGCAGTTTTCGGAGGCTTCCTCAGAAAGCCGTGAGGGCCCATGAGCCCCCCTTCCCCTGCTGTTCTCTGGAAGTGTTGGCTGGTACCAAAGTCTTCTGCTATACCCCTCAATGAGGACCAAAGACAAGAGAAGGCAGAGCAGAAAGGTGCAGGAGCTCGGGTCTCTGAGGACTGAGTAATGGACAGCCAAGACTCCAGGCCTGGATGGCCCACATTTGGAGTTTTTATGTGAGATGCAAGAAAGTAAAATTCTATCCTGTTTAAGACACTATTACTTAGAAGCTGTGTTAGTTGCAGACAAATCCAGTCCTGATTTTTATAAATAATTCTGAATAGGCTCCATACCCATTGTGGAGCCCAACATGGGGCTTGAACTCATGACTCTGAGATCAAGACCTGAGGTGAGATCAAGAATCAGATGCTTCACTGACTTAGCCACCCAGGTGCCCCTTATAAGGAATATTTGAAAAATAAAACCCACTCTCCATAAACAAAGATTTCTTATACTGAGGATGTTCAAAAGAGTGTGCCATTAAAAAAAAAAAAGAAGGTGCCATGGATTCTGGAAACTTTTCTAAAACAGACATTTCAAAGGATACCTCGCACTGTTTAAATGAGCACAGAGCTTCCCAAGGTGAAAAGGACAGATACTTAAAAAAGGACAGACATTCGCTTGGATGATTAGCTTTAGGTATTTTCTGACAGTATCCCATTACTTTATTATCAAATAGCATGAAAGGTCAACTTCTACCTGAGGTAAGAGTTTAAGGAGAGTTGTGTTGTGTAATACCACACTCAACAATATCCACATACCTTTAAGAATTCAAACACACACACACACACAGAGCAGAAGGCTGCTAGAAAATGCCTGTTTATGATAAAACAAGAAAAGCAAAGCATAAAACAAAAGCATGCCTTGAGACTTACGTGGTTATCTTTATAGTAGTAAGAAAGGGCAGGAAATCGCCGTCTGCTCCGGAATTTGGAACTCCCCACAATGATGTGTGCCGTGGCCGATTTGGGAACATACAGTTCAGTAGGGTAAGAATCACAAACCTGTCACGGGAAACACATGGGGATTTTGAGGCCATCTCGTAATGCTTTGTGAACTGTCACAAGAAATTCCATTTATCATACTTAGAAGTTGCACGTTTACCTCTTCTTCTTTTTTTTTTCTTCAGGTTTTTGTTTATTTATTTGAGAGTGAGTGAGTGAGAGAGAGAGAGAGAGCAAAAGCAACAGTGGGGAGGGTCAGAGGTAGAAGCAGACTCCCCACCAAGCAAGGAGCGCCATGTGGGGCCTGATCCCAGGACCCTGAGATCATGATCAGAGCTGAAGGCGGACACTCAACCAGTTGAGCTGAGCCACCTGGGCGCCCCCATTTAAGTTTTCTTAACCAAGTTACAGAGGAGGCTATTTTGAAGAAACCAACGGCCACCTCAGAGAAAGGAAGACCTGTGGATCTTATGACATCAAAGGGAAGCAAACATTCTTTAGCAACCTGTCCTGGTGCACGGGTCCCTTCTGAGGGCACTGTGAGGGGCAAGACAGTGACAGGGGAGCATTTCTTTTGTCAGAAAGGGAGAAATCAAAATTCGGCATCTTGGTAGCTGAAAAAAATTGACCAGCCTGTTTTGAGTGAAAGACAGCCCACAGGTAGGGTGTAAGCACCAGCCATGTGCCCAAGACAAAACCCATGCCCTCACTGGGTACTCCCCAACCCCCTTCTTCCTAAATTGTCCCAAATCCCTTCCATTCTTCAAGGGACAACCCACTCTGCCTCCTTCAAGAAGCTTCCCCCCGGGCTTCCAACTCAGGTAAGTTTCTAGATCTGTCTTGATACCGCATAATATAACAGCTTTATTTTTGCTTCCTCCACATGATTTCACAAACGGTAAGAAATTATTTTACTCTTTCTGTGCATCGCCAGCAGTGATTCCCACAGTGGAAACTCCAGAGCCTTGGAATGGTCTTGTGATTTAATCAGGCATCAGCAGTTTAGAACATGGCTCTGCTTTGCCAAATTCATGACCTTCAGAGAGTCACACTATGCTGACCTCTAAAACTGATAAAACACAGAAATCATATCCCTTGGGGTTGAGGGAAGGGTCAAATCAGATAACACCCATGAAAAAGCACTTTATAAACCAGTGCATCTGACAGAAATGTGAGTGGGGGCAACAGTAATCACTGACTCGTTGCTAGGCCTGCATTTCGTTCTGACATCAGCCAATCAATCTCTTTGTGATGTGAAGATCGCTCAGAAAGCTATTCCTGGGTTTTCCCCAAGTAGCCCTCTCTTTCCCAGAAGTCAAGCTTCTTCTTGGCCATTTCAAGAGGAGACCTCCAGGAGCAGCAATGACAGGGCAATCTGTCAGCCACATGAACTCTGTCCACCTCTGCTCTCACCTACCGCTCTGGAAAGATGGAACTGGAGGAAACGAAAACCCACCCCAAGGAAGAGCCCAGCCTCTGCACCACAGCTTCTGACAACTGTCCTGTGAGGATGCCTTCCCCCTCCCTTGCCTCCATCCACTGTCTTGGTTACCAGACTAGTGAACGACATCAAGTAGGAGATAAAAGGGCCACAAAAGTGATGTTCTCGGGCTCAATGTGTAATTTCAGCAATGAGCCAAAGACAATTTAGGGAAGATTAGCAAAGACTTCAAAAATGTCCAGCTCTGACACTGATGGAAATCCCAGTCTAGGAACATGGATACTCTGGAGGAAAACCTTGTACCGAGAACACATGGCCCCGCCTACCTGGACCCAGAGAGCCTGACGGGAATGACTACCACAAGACACCACACCTTCTTCCCCATGCAAATCTGGTGCCCGAACTTCTCTTCCGTCAGTCAGCTAGAACATTACGACACAGACCACACTTGCTTCTCTGAGGTTCAAGAGACATGTAGTCATCGCGCCGGCTTACAACACTTTCTTAAAATAACAGTTTTAAAAAGGAAACTGGGAAGTTTTCAGTAAGGTGGGAATCACCTACTGTCTTCACTAAAACAGCACCAACAAACTGCAATGTTATTTATGATGAAATAAAAGAAGAAAGTAATAGGTGAGCTTTCTCAACCTGCCTTACATACAGCCTTTCTAAATAACAGAGGTGAGTTAGGAACTGGGAAGCTCCTGCTGGTTCCTCTTATAGCCTCCCAAGGCCAAACAATGCTCAGCTTGTCTCACACTGTAAACTTTATGGGCACCATACCCAGTATGGGGCGGAGAGAAAGGGAAACACTCAGAGCCCACTCCCCTTAACACTCCTGGCCCCATCCTACTTAAGGACCTGACTGCTATCCACTCTGGGTCTTCCTTCTTCCCCAGGAGAGCAGGGAAGTCTTTCCCACCCTCTAAGAGTACCAGGGCTCTCCGCCTCCACCTGTGTAGGAAAATGTAGACCTTTTAGGTTGGCATGAGCAAGGCCAAGAGCTCAACACCTCAACCCTGTCAACAGCAGTCAGGCTCACACAGCGGTCATGGGCTCCCCTGCAGGGACACAACGATGCTGGTTACAGGGACTCCTGCTTTCCCTGAGCACTGGGTTTAGATGAAAAGAGTTCAAGGTTCAAAACTGAAATATGGGCATTCTGATAAGCACTTGCATGGGAAGCTCTAGGAGGAGCTAAAACAGCTTTGGAAAAAGTCAGACTCAGGGTGTCAGGGAGCTCAGGCTTCAAGACACAACTTCTTACCCAAGCTGGAAATAGTGACTTCATCCTGCTTTCATGAAAGCGGAGAGCGCTTGCATGGAGAAATTTAAAAACAGTCCTGAGGGTGCCTGGGTGGCTTAGTCGGTGAAGCGTCTGCATTTGGCTCAGGTTATGATCCCAGGGTCCTGAGATCGAGCCCCATGGAGAGCCTGCTTCTCCCTCTCCCTCTGCCCCTCCCCCTGCTCAGGCTCTCTCTCTTGTGCTCTCTCAAATAAATAAATTAAAAAAAAAAAAAGTCCTGCATAACAGTGGCCACTGTCATTTTTGCAACAAGCTCACATAGTTGTAGTCAAAATCCTGACAATGAATAAGGCACAGCACCGTGCCATTCATGCTACCACATTCTGAAACCAATCAAGGCACTTCCCCAAATTTTGCCTGGCTTGGAAAATCACATAAGAAAATTTAGAGAGAATGGGAGAAGTTGAGAAAAGTACAAAAGTCTTTTCCTCTGAATTTTCCTTCTTTACATGGACTACCTGAGCCCGTGAAAATGGAGTAAGTTAAAATCATTTCTGCGTACTTTTTTTTTATTAATGAGGAAATTATTTTCCTTATCCTCCACTAAATAAATTAGTCTGCCTCGAGGGCTTGCCTATCTTGCTTTGGTTGCACCAAGAAAAATCTCTTTTGATAATTCTTCTACTCATTCAACAAGTTTTTTTTTAAATATATTTAACATATACCATTGTACACATGTTAATTTGATACATTTATATATTGTACTATGATTGCCACTGTAGTGAGAATCAGCACCCCATCATGTGATAAATTCTCCATTTTTTTCAGTGGCCAGAATCATTAAGTTCTAGGCTCTTGGCAAGTTTGATGATTATAGTACAATATTTTTGTCACCACCAAGTTTCTATTGAATACTTCCTATGTGCCAGGCATTATGTAAGGTACTAGGGTAGTAATGTAAAACAAAAGAGTTACTGGCTTCAGGGACTTTACAGTCCCAGTAAAGCTGATCTCTGTTGACCTGATTATAACCTTGCAATCAATGCATTTACCACTGTAGGGTGGTACCCATCTGAGATGCCATCCAAGGCATCTTAATTAGACCTCTGTATTTCTTGAGGACCACTCAACTGAGCACAATGGAGAGGTAGTTGTCAGAGACTGAGATAGATCTACATAGACAATTTTCTTCTTAAACATTTAGGATCTCAAATTTATTTCAAGGAATTTATGATGTAATATTAGGGGAGAAGAAGGAGGGTACGCTCCACATAAAATGATTCATATATAAATAAAATAAAATAATACATAATATATAAAATATACTGCAAAAAACTGAAATAGACAATATTTTAAATTACTGGTATAGATTATTCTTTAAATTTTATTCTAAGAGAAACAGGTTAAAATTTTAACCTAGTAATGAATGACAGTTATTTAAGAAAGACAATTTCAGGAGTTATGTACAGAAGGGAATCTTCATTTGACAGTTGGACTATCATAGACAAGTCTTATTAAGTAGGACTGAGAGTAATGATGATAGAGATGATAATGATGATAATTAGCCTCCCAAGACCACACAAACAGAAAAAAGGCAGCACAAGCTCTGAACCTACGTTTCTTTCTAAGAAGAAAGAAATAGGGGCACCTGGGTTGCTCAGTCGGTTAAGTGTCCCACTTTTGATTTCCGCTCAGGTCATGACCTCAGGGTTGTGAGATCAAGCCCCATGTTGGGCTCCGTGCTGGGTGTAGAGCCTGCTTAAGATTCTCTCTCTCCCTCTTCATCTCCCCCCTCCCACCTTCCTTTAAGAAGAAAAAGATGATGATAATGAAGAAGAAGAGGAGGAGGAGGGGGAGGAAACTCTTGTAAAAGAAGGGAGGAAAAAGTAAACATTTTCTCAACCATGAAATGAAAAGCAAAAGTAATGGATGATGATGTAACTTTCTCAAAGGGCTATTAGAAAGTTTTTGAGAAAATCAACTTTTAGTATAGGTCTAAGTTGGTAATAGATAAGGGTACATATCTTTCTCCCCATTTCAATGGTATTGGTAAAACCAGAAAATCCCCAAGGTTTTCACATTTTCTGTGTCAATACAGTTTGTTGGTTGTTAGTTTTGGTTTGCTGTATGTTCCTTTGGAAAAGAAATATTGAGTAACTCATGTTTTGTAGTCTCTACATGTAGGACTTAAGTGACTAAATATGAGTCATGCTTGTGGCACTAATTTGAGAAGGAAATCTCATCAAAAATAGGAACAACCTGTGTTTCCAAGAAAATATTATTCCACAAGATGTAGCTTAGGTTCATTTTCTTCCTGACTCAAGGGCGTGTCATATTTTTAAAAAATTTAAAAAGGTATCCAATTTTCTTTGGTAAACTTGGATTTTCCTCCCTTTCATTTCAAGGGTAAAAATTCATTGCCACATAGTTCATAATGATTGAGACAAAGAAGCCCTAAACGTCTACTCACAGTGTACGATTACGGTTGTCAGATTTAAGCGTAATTATGGAGAAAATTGAGTATCATGAACGTGTCCATTCTACCCCAGAAAATCTATAAATTCAAGATATCAGAAGAATGATGTGGAAGGAACTGAAATTATTTAAAAACACACTAAGTAAGACTACATTTTTACTACTTACATATGTAGAAACATTATAAACAGAGAAGGACAACACCAGATTGCAGTCAGTGACACTGGAGCAGAAGGTGATCTGGAGGGAACATTAGGGTGATTTAATAGCACTGATCTATGTGTCTATTTTTGTTCCAGGACCATATTGCTTTAATTCCTATAGCGAGCAATCAAATATATACATTTGTATAAATATTATATACATTCTATGTGTGTGTGTGTGTGTATATATTCATATATATATATAGAGAGAGTGTGTGTTAATTATTACTATGTGTATGTAACAAACTATTGGGACTACATCAAAATAAAAAATTTTTGCACAAGAAAGGAAACTATCAACAAAACAAACTGAATGGAAGAATATCCCAATTATATAAAGAATTTACACAACCCAACACCAAAAAATCAAAATAATCCCAGGGAAGAACAGGCAGAAGACCTGAATAGCTGTTTTTCCAAAGAAGACATACAAACGGCCAGCAGACACATGAGAAGTTGTTCAGCATCACTCATCATCAGGAAAATGCAGATCAAAACCACCACGAGGTATCCCCTCACACCAGTCAGAATGGTTAGTATTAAGAAGCCAAGAAATAACGAGTGTTGGCAGGATGTGGAAAAAAGGGAACTCCCATGGCACTATTGGTAGGAATGTAAATTGGCGCAGCCACTGTGGCCAACAGTATTAAGATTCCTCAAAAAATTCAAAATAGAACTACCATATGATCCAGCAATTCTACGACTGAGTATTTACCCCCCAAAAAAACACAAAAACACTAATTTGACAAGATACATGCATCCTCCTATTTATTGCAGCATTATTTACAGTAGCCAAGATATGGAAGTAACTTGTGTCCATCAATAGATAAATGAATAAAGATGTGGGGGTGTGTGTTTGTGTGTGTGTGTGTGTGTATGTGTGTGTCACAGGAATATTACTCAACCATAAAAAAAAGAATGAGATCTTGTCATTTCTGACGTGAATGGACTTAGAGGGCATTATGCTAAGTAAAATATGTCATATAGAGAAAGAATACCATATGATTTCACTTATGTGAAGTCACGGAAACAAACAAACAAACAAAAAAGAGAGCAAACTGGTTGCCAGAGGAGAGAGGTAGCAGGATGGGACAAAGAGGTGAAGGGGATTTATAGGTACAAATTTCCAGTTATGAAATAAATAAGTCACAGGGATGAAGAGTACAGCACAGGGAAAAGAGTCGATGATATCATGATAACATTGTGTAGTGACTATGCTTACTGTGGTGGGCATGAGACTATGTACAGACTAGCTCAGTCACTATGCTGTGTACCTGAAACTAATGTAACAGTGTACACCAGCTCTACATTGATAATAAGAACTGTAAAAATGTAAGCAGAAATTGTCAAATAACAGGAGATAAGACATAAATGGTCAATCAGCATATAAGAATCTACAAATCAAGAAATCAAAGCATATAGGTTAAATTAAAATGAGAAATCCCTTGTCCCACTATCAAGTTGTTAGGAAAATTTAAGAACCAATGTCTTTCCCAGTGAGGGCGCAAAGAATCAAACTTTCCATACACAGCTGCTGAGAATTTATATATATTGGTACGACTTTTCTGCAGTTCTTTTTGATGACATGCAGAAAAAGTTGTGTGAACTTTTTGACATAGAAATTTCACCTTTAGGAATCTGTCTTTTAAAAGAATCTTAACACGGGTGAAGGTATAGTGACCAGGATGTTCTCACTATGTTTATTTAAAATAGTAAAAAATAGTAATAATCTACATGTCTAAAAATTAGAGATTAGGTAGAAAGAATAGCATATAGCCATACTATGTGATATTATATTTTTAAATGATATAAAATTCATTTATTGGCAGAAAAAAAACAGTATGATGGGTGAAGAAAAGCAGAACATAAGGCATGTGTAAAATGTTACAAATTTGTTATATATATTGGAACAGTTCCTTTTCCTCTGTATTTTCCAATTTCCAATCATTAATTGTATTACTTACATAAGAAAAGAGCTATTAAACTATGCAGATGAGAAAAAGAAACTGAAGAAAAATTTTAAAACCTAATAGAAGAACATTAGGGCACTGAGATGGTGGGTGTTTTTTCTTTTTTCTCACTTTTGTAAATTCTCTGCAACATTCTTGCTTTGCTTTTATTACCTAAAATATTTAAAAAATTAATAGGGAAACCAACATTGATTTGTAAGCCCATCATTAGGGACAATATGAGATTGATTCTGCCCCTCCTGCTTCCCTTCCTCTCCATAGGCCTTTCTGGAAGTGTAGACACATTTCTCCACATTTCTCTAGGGAAGCCTCTTGGTGACCTTGTGTACCAATCAAGAGTTCAGTGAGTACAGAGAGGAGCTGGTGCCAGACTGCCATCACAGTCTCTCTGACTTCCCCACTAATCACTTGGTGCACTATAAAAAGAGCTGATGGGAGAACTTGGCCCTGGCCAGCTCTCCCACCCACTGCCTGGCCATGAGGCCTGCCACTGGGCTTCTCCGGGTTTCCATCTCCTCAACCATTGGGAGACAGTGTGTATGCATCTGGGGAGGGGTGGGGGGCGGTTCTCTAAGTTTCCCTTGGCTGAACCTTCTGATTCTGGGTGCAGGTAGGAAATGCAGCTCACAATAACCAAGGAGACTTGCAAATCCAGAGATCTGTATCTACAAAGAGCTGTAAAAACTAAAGAAGATTAAACAGAGGTCATGCTAAGCTATGGGAATCATGAGTTCCCTCGGATTAAGTAACCGGATTTCACTAGATGCCCCCACACTCACTCTGTAGTCTCTGTTCACATCGCTGAGCTGCCAATCATTACTAGGGAGGCCCATTCGCTTGTACTCTTCACCGAGATCGATCAGCATCCAGCCCTGTTCTCTTTCTTCTTTGTCCAGCTTGGGGTTGAATGAAAAGCAGTATAACTCCTCATATTTCACTGCAAGATAAAAGAGAATAAAGCCAAATCAAGCCAGGTCAAAACCAGAACAAAATCTCCCCAAAAGCATTCTGTCTCGGCTAGAGTACATCAAGAAGCCAAACCAGCTTCTCGCCTCTCAGGATGCTGCCAGCACCGCCGCATCTTGTTCACCCACAACCTCCCAGTAATGACACAGAGACCTTGGAAGAAGCAAACTCAACTTCGCAAGAGCTCCTTTCCTTTTCGAAACAAGGCCTGCTCCATTCTGCGCTTTTTTTTTTTTTTTTTTTAAAGTTGTTTTTGAAGGCAAACATATTCTCCGGACCACGTAAGAAAGGAAACTTAAAAAATTAATTAAGAATGTATGTATCATTAGATACCAAGAACTCAATTTGTTTATGTATATGAAGCTTGGATTTGGGATGGCCTCTCCGAGACAGACGGAGGCCCAGGCGGCTGCCCCATGTTGATACTCACAATATGAAAAAAAGAAAGAATAACCCAAAAGCTGTGGAATGTATTCAAGTGTTTGCCCTGGAAACATCTGAACTCTTACCAGACACATCATTGTCGTAATTGCACTGCTTATACAAAATTCATAGGATTCATAAAAAAATCAATTGATAGCGTAAGGGGCAAATTCAAGGAAGTCTGATGAAGGTCTGATTTCAGTTCTGCCAGGACGTCTGTGTCTTTACAACCCCCCCCTCTGCTTGTGAGGCCAGACCCAACAGCCTTCCTCATTGGGAGCTAGGGTTTGATTTTCCTGCTCTGATCTTGTTAAGTTGAAGGAAACGATTCAGGGCCATTCAACAAAAATATAAGCAAGACATGTGTCCCTTAAAATGTCCTTGAAGCCACATTAAAAAACTGAAAAAATAAACAATGAAATTAATTTTTCCAGTACATTTTCTTAGAAACCCAATACAACCAAATATTATCATTTCAACACGTGGATAATATAAAACTTATTAATGTTGTATGTATCTTATTTCATAATGTCTCTGAAATTCCACATGTATTTCACACTTGACAGCACATCCTCGTTCGTTCTACCCACACTTCAAGAGCCCACCAGCCACATGCAGCCATATTGGATAGTGCAGGCCACCATATTGGATAGTGCAGATCCAAGCACCTCCAGTAAGGATAAATCATGGCTGATACTCACTAAACCCTTATTTCTTTCCAGATTATGTTCTTTTTTTTTTTTCTAAGATTTTATTTATTTATTTGACAGACAGAGATCACAAGCAGGCAGAGAGAGAGGAGGAAGCAGGCTCCCCGCTGAGCAGAGAGCCCGATGCGGGGCTCGATCCCAGAACCCTGAGAACATAACCTGAGCCAAAGGCAGCGGCTCAACCCACTGAGCCACCCAGGCGCCCCTCCAGATTATGTTCTTAATAAATGTATTAACCCATGACGGGCCTCATTTTACAGATGAGAAATCCGAGGCAAAGAGAGCTTAAGGAACATCGCCAGGGCCACACAGCTAGTAAGTGGGGATCTGGATTTAAATTAGGCAATCTGTCTATAGAGCTCATCCCCTTAATCACACACAATGACCCTCAAAGGCAAGTCCTTCTCCCTTTTCCCCAGATGGACCACTTTTGTGTCTATTCTTTCCTTGTTCCATCGCCTGAATCATCTTCTTTTTCTCCAATAGATTTCTTTCTCCTCAATTTTCTTAGGTCCCCCCATTTATTCCTTAATCTGTTGATGACATTCAGATGTGGCTCATTTAATGGCTCTTCCATACGTGTCTGGAGGCCCAATAAGGGATCTCACCAGCAGCAAAAGGCCACAGTAACACACTGGCAGCCTGAGAGCTGAAGTCAGTTTCAGGCTTGTTGTAATTTCCACGGAAATGACTCATCGCCAAGGAAGAAGAAAGATAAGGGTCATATTTTAATGACCAGATTTTGCATTAGACATGTACTTTTTCTTATAGAAAAAAACCATAAGTAAGTTCATCAGTTAGATAAACGATGTTCTATTTCAGTTTCTCCTGATATATTTCTAAACGTCAAGCTTTAGAACATGGATGATTTCAACCAATAAGAAAGCACATACCCCCAGGTGTCTGTACATGCAAACGTGGAGTAGATGTTGTCAGTAGGAACTGTCTTTTGTAATCTTAGCTACTGGAGCAGGCAGCCTATGAAACTGAAGTCTTGTTCTGGGAACCATCAGCTGGACACTGACACATCTTTTCCATTTCTCAGGACCATTTCATGACTCAGGCCTCTGATATCACAACGTTAACCGCAAATGCAATTTGTTCAAGAGGCCAAAAGAATCTCTTGAGAAAGCCTCAGTTCCCTCAGTGAAAGAAGAGCCCATGAATACGGGGTTAATAATGGATGTGAAGTTCCCTTTGTCAAAGAGTGACAACTACGTTTAAAGGTAGAAGGAGAAAACCATTCTAGGGCTACGCGTAGTTTTCTGTGTATGGGCTCATGCGTGCTGTCATTGGGAGGAGGCAAACACATGGAACAGAAATTAAATGTTTCTAGCAGACATTAAGAAGATCATTCTCAAACTAGGAGGCATTAGGATTGGTTGCCACTAAAACTGTGAAATGTTTTCTTTGGGTTATTTTTAAGCAAAAGAGTGATCGACCATGGCCCTGGTCCAATTTAGTAAAATTCTACACAAGGGGAAAGAAACCCACACTTTTGTCAGCCAAAATTCAGTCTATTCAGTCTTATTACTGTAGGCAAACTTCCTACCCAAAAGCCAGCCCAGGGGAAGCCTTCAGTAGACAACTGTCTACTCTGAGAAATTAAAAAGTACCATTAACACAGATGTAAATTTTACCGAGTATTTCCCATCCACAATGTTCTGTTCCCCTCACCTGCATCTCCTGCAAAATACATAGCAGAATTCTTAGTAATCAGCAAGAGGGTGAGTTAAAAACAACACCAGAAGTAAGGCTAGAGAAATGTCTAGTCATTATAGAATCTGAACTGAGAGAACACGCCTGCTTCAGAAAGGTCAGATCCCAGATTCCTCACCTTCATCCCTTAAGACAGACATGTGAAATACTCCACTGGCTTCTCACCCCACGGAGTCTGGGCCATCGCACCCAACATCAAATGTCTTTTGCTGTTAGTGAGGGCGGGGTTCAACAGGAGGTGCACAGAAGGCGTCTCCCCCAAAGCTGTTCCCAAAAGAAGCAAATACCCCACATGCCTTTGCACAGTGGAAGTTAGCTGAATGCGTACCTCCAATCTAAAAAAATATTTAGATAAAGTTATGCAGAAATCATTCTATTATTTACTTTATTTACCTTACTTAAACCTTACAATTGCTAAGCAAAGGCAGACTTGAAGGTTTTTCTATCCAGAAAGAAGTAGAACACTTTCTAAAATACTGCTTGAAATTAAGAAAGGGTAGCATTTGGGGGACATTTCTAGGATAGTCAAATCCGTGTTTCAGGCCTCAGGAGACGGCCTGAGAGATGCATGTGTTGACTGACTTGGCATTCCTTGAGCACTTCCATTCATCTGGACTCATTAACACAGGGAAGCCCTTGGCCCTGTGATGGGTTTCCTGCCTATTGCTCTCATCAATGCCTTCGCTCTTGGGCAATCCCACTTCTTACTCCCTGGGGAAGATTTCCACCATCAAGTGGCAATTTTCATCTAGGAATCACCCAGCCTCCAAATGGCCTGGTCTCTGCCCTGCACCCGTGCTCCTTCTCTCCCATTAAAAATGAAAGGGTGTTCACTCTACCACATAAGGCAGCTGTGGGTAAGACAAAGCAATTAGAGAAAAAAAGAAAAACAACCTGGTTTGTTTCCCAGGTATCAGGCTAAATGGTTATGAAAACAGAATATTTTGGGAAAAAAATGGGGGGGGAATTACCATGGGAGAATCATGGGGAGGACTAATTGGGAGAAACAAAAAGTAACTTAATATTATAATTTAAAAAATACTTTAAAAATAAAAAGGAAACTTGCAATGACCCATGTAAAACCTGAATACTACAGTTACATTACTGATTGCTTTCCTTTTGTAAAAAAAAAAAAAATTTTTTTTTGACATTGAAATTGAAAGGAAAGAACAAACACAAATGAGCCTTTGCAGAATGTGGAGGTGGGTCTGGGAAGGGAAAAGTTCCGGCAGTCAGCAGGGGGACACACATATGTGGGGTTTATTAGAACCAAAAGTAACAACCGAAAACTCAGCTGCTCCCAACCTCTCCTTAAGTCAGACAACCTAAAATAATTGGAGCTAAAAACCAGTGAAACAGGGGTGAGAAGACAACACGCCTATTACTGGACTTTGCAGATTTAGAATAAAGATAAGGAGATGTCTGCTATTTTCAACAAGTAAGTGTTTGAATGAAACACCAGGGCTGTGAAGGCTAACTGTCAGTGGGAAAGGACTTCTGGACTCAGACAAGGATGTCAAAAGTGAAATTAAGCACCCCCTCCAAAAAAAAAAAGTGAAATTGACCAAATGAGGTGATGTCAATCATAAGATTTTTTAAAATCATAATATTTGTGCAAAAGAACTGGGGACTAAGAAGAACTGGGGGCGGGGGGGAAACTATCATTTAGAAAAAAATGGGAAAATAAATAAAGACGGTTTAACTGTTAAAGTGCCCATGAACACCACAGAAGGAAAGATAATTGATAGAAAAATAAACAGCAGAAAGCAAACCAGAGGGAGGAGAATGCACATGGGAAAAATGGAAGCTCTCTGAGAAATAGGGGTCTTTTCATCAGAAAAATGTATATCGTAATAAGTATACTGGATCTGTTTCTCATTGGGGCCAAAGCTTTACTTTAACCTAAATTATTCTTTGTTAAGAATTAAAGAGCTTACTGAATTTGGTGACTTTAATTCTTCATTCTTAACAATTTGAATTCACACAAAAGACCAACCAATAAAATCTCACTAAATGTTTTAGTAGTTTGATGTACCTTATCCCCAAAATCCTAATGCAGTGAAGAGAGAATCTCAAGAGTTCTGAAAATCTCCTTTATATGGAGAAAGAGAGAGAGAGAGTCCTCTATAGGACCTTGCAATTTAGGCATGTCCATAAGGGTAGCTGAAAATAGGTGGTTTGTGTTGGTGACTACCCAGAACAACTAGAGAGCTATATCGTGATACTAGAATTCAAAGGTTACCACACACACACACACGGCCCTTACTCTGATAGACCTAGGAGGGGATGGTGCATTTTGTAAAAGATCTACAGATGGCTCTGATAAGCCACCCCTATTCCCAGCTGGAACCCCCTCCACCTTTCTCTACCTCCATCCAGATTCAAAAGCCTGCTTCCAAGGTTGTAGGCTGTAATGGGTCCTAATTTGAGCATTGCCTCTAACATTAAACTATGAAACTGTCTGGGTTCTATTTCACCTTCCCACACTCATTAAAGTACTGTGTTTTATGTAAACTGGCATTTCCAATTCCAGTGTTTCAAGATGCTTGTGGTTTTTGTTTTTTTTTTTTAAGATTTTATTTATTTATTTGACAGAGAGAGACAAAGCAAGAGAGGGAACACGAGCAAGGGGAGTGGGAGAGGGAGAGAGGAGAGCGGGAGAGGGAGAAGTAGGCGCCCCACTGAGCAGGGAGCCCTATGCAGGGCTCGATCCCAGGACCCTGGGATCATGACCTGAGTGGAAGGCAGCTGCTTAACGACTGGGCCACAGAGGTGCCCAAGATGCTGGTGGCTTTCTAAAAACCTTCTGAAGTAATAGGTTTAATCCAATTAACCACTGTGATCTCTGGCTATGTCTAATACCTACCTCGCCAACGTCACCTTTAAGAAAAAGTGTGTGTTTTACAAAGTGAGAACACAGAGATTTTCCTCCCCAGGGGCCTTCGCCATAAGAGTCCCGGCGCTCAATGCCCGCACTGGCCACAGCCCTCACAGTCACCGGGATCTGCCATTCCAGCCACTCAGCTCTTTCCCAGTGCTCTGGGCTAGTCCTAAATCCTATTAATCCGGTCAGAGCACATTTATTATCCCGTCCAGCCATTAATCAGTGACACAGAAACTGCTGGCACACAGCTCTCCTCGCATTCCCCACTGCACGCAACCTCACATACATCTTCCCAGAACTTCTGTTCCAATTATAGTGCACCCTCTAAAAAGTTCAACTGCTTTTCTGGCTAACTCTGCGCGATTCTCTGCAACACATGGAGATGAAAAAGCCTCCACCAGCTGCTTTGCGGGGGGAGCGAAGTCAAGTCGAAAGGATCCGATTTAGATAGCTCCCTGGCATCATTTTCAAGAAACAACTTGAGTTCTTCGCTATCTGACAATGATACAGCCACACCGTAAGAAATGGAGGACCCAGCCACACCCCTGGCAGGGGTTACCATCAAACTTCTTGTCCTGAATCAAAAAGCATTTAGCCCAGGAAATATAAAGCTATATTCCATCTCCCTTGTCAGCGATTTTGCTGTAATACTACCACGAAGATTACTCTTCTATAAAAGATTTATTTTTACCAAATTCTCCCCAGAAACTGAGGCGTCTGTTTCTTTTAAGCAAAAGGACACCACAACCGATACAAGCCACACAGACAATAAACGCTTCTCTAGAAGTAACAGGAAGCTGTACGTCGGAAGCCCCACGCCGAGGGCTAGAACAGGGGAGTAACTGACAGCATCTATTTTTCAAATCAACCAAACATTCTTCCCATGACACTTAAGAAGGTTTTGTGTAGGACGACAAACATATCCACACCGTGAATACAACCGATGCTAACCAAGTCTAGTCATACCAACCTCGGGAAACCTCTATCACCATCACAAAGCAATAAAAAACCAAACCTTAAAAGCCCCAAGAGGGGAAAGTGCCCTAGAACCATTTGATATTAATATTTTCCACACACAACAGTTTGTCAGTTTTACCTTAGGTTTCAAGCAAGGTGGCTTAATTATCATAGTATGGGAAGGGCATAATTCTTTTTTTTTTTTTTTTAAGATTTTATTTTTATTTATTTGACAGACAGAGATCACAAGTAGGCAGAGAGGCAGGCAGAGAGAGAGGGAGAAGCAGGCTCCCCGCCAAGCAGAGAGCCCAATGCAGGGCTTGATCCCAGGACCCTGAGATCATGACCTGAGCCGAAGGCAGAGGCTTTAACCCACTGAGCCACCCAGGTGCCCCAGGAAGGGCATAATTCTAAAATGATTTCACTCCAAAAGGAAAAGCTATAAAACTTCCCACCCAAGGTAAAGTGAATACTAAGAATAATGAAAGAGGTTCATACCTTTAACAACTCAGGGAGAGCCCCCTTAAAGGCAATGAATCATTCAGAATTCTTGGCCTCATTGGAGGACTGGCATAACATATTATTGCTAAAACACCATAATTCTTCAACTATGCAGATTTCTTGAACATGGCTTGTGAACCTAAAGGTGCGACATAAGAAACGCTGAGTTCTCTACCCTACCTGGCCTTGCAAGGCGTATCAGAGAGATGTACACATCGTGGCAGTCTCGCTCCTGTGGGATGATGAGTTGTAACACCTGGAAGTTCTTGCAGCGAATAAGCAGAGAGCATCCAGTAGCGGTTGTGGCCTGTTTTTCAATGGTGGAAATCTGACTGTGAAGAATCTGCAACCAAAAGTCATGTGGAGACACTAAGCCCTGATAACAGATAAACGAGATAAGCACAACCCAGATCTCGGAAGCAACACAGACAAGAAACTCTCCTCCATCTCCAGCTAGCTCAGCACCTGCACTCAGATGACAAGAACCAATGTTCAGGAAAAGAAACCATCTAACTCGGTCATTTTATTTTTCATTACCAAGCCTTCTGGTAATTATATACAGGCTAATTATATACAGAGCACATAACGTTGTACAAGTCCAGGTAAGGGAACATTTTGGTAGTCAAATGGTGAATGAACTTCATAGCTAAAATTAAATAAGGTCATGAGAAGTTAGTAAAATAAACCTCGCAATCAACAAAAGTTAGAGATGGCTCCGCTGGGAGGTGCCACCATGCTCCTTAATTCCACATGGGATGCTCAAGTTCAATAGCAACTTGCAATTGCTGCTTTCTAAGCTGCTGGTAATCAGGCAGGCTGGAGAAGAGATTTATGTTAAAGATTTATGTCAGGCTGAAGTGCATCTCCCTCGTGCTTCAGTGCCAGGGTCGGGGGGTGATGGGAGCATTTGTTATCTTCTGTTACTGTGGTTATGGTTGCCACACACGGTTACATCAGTTTCAGGTGCACAATATGGTGACTCATCAACTCTATACATTATGCTAAGTGTAGTCACCATCTGTCACCAGTACTCTCCACCCAGTAATGCCTGCCACCTTCTGCTGAAATGTAACAATGTCTACAGAATACAGAAAAGGGAAAAATCTACAATTCAGGGATTCTGCTTCCAGTCAGAGTGTCCCAGTTGGGTGGCTATGGAAAATAAGACGTAGCCAGTGGTCTCATTACTAAGTAGCAGAAATATCTGACAAAGGGACTCTTCCCTACCTTTTCTTTCCTTTGTTTTCAAATTATCGGAAAAGTGAAGACAACATAACAAAATAACTAAATGGTTGGCATTATTGGATCCTACAAATATGATGTATTGCAGATAAGGCACGACCGAAGGGCTGTATCTGGCACTGATGTTCTCGAATCTCTACTTGACAGCTGTGACATGAAACACTCACATCTCTGGCTATTTCTGGGCCTGTCTTTGACAATGTTTAAATAATGAGTGTTTAAAAATGAATAAGTAGATCAAGTGGGTTTGACTCTGCAAAAAAAGACAAAGCTGACCTTCCAAAAATAGTCCCCTAACACCCAAATACCGAAAGCCCACCCACAGGGACAAAACTCATTACTTAAAACAACAGAAAACACATAAAAAGGCCAAGAATAAAGAATGCATACCCATGTTTCTTTTCTTGTGTCAGGTGCATTTTCCACAAATATGACGTGAGTAGCTGTCAAATACAAAGTTCCCAGGGCTGCTTTTTTAGAAGATATTCGATCTACCAAGCGGACATTTTCGACCTAGAGAAATCAGTTTGACAGTTATCATAAAGCAAAAGACTATTTGTAAAAATAAATAGTAAGTAGGTAATCTTGGATTTAATCCAAAATATATAAAATTTTGAGGGTTCTTCCAATAATAAAACCCAAACTTATCCTCTTAATTGGATCTTAGTATGATTCTGTAGATTAAAATACAAAAATTCACCTGTTATTTAAAATATAATTTTAAATGTACCATGAAAGTTTTATAGACCTATTCTTTAAGAATACCCTCTTCGTATTTTAAATAAGTCAGCATTTTCATATCACTATAACTATATAATTCTAATTTAAAGCAGGAAGTGTATGTATCAAAGTTCTGAGTTTTAACAATAACCATCTATAAATTATGTTATTAAAAGGACTATAACGTATTTCTCTATGTATTTCTTGGTAGTAGAAACAGCCTCAAGACAGTTTGCTTCCACATAAACTAGCAGGAAATATAGGAGAGCAAAAAGTATCAGAGAAATGTTATATATGTTTACAAAGAAAACCTACCAAATTAAGACGCTCACATTCATTTATAATAAAAGTCCCCTAATAAGTAGAATTTTCACCACTGACCTTGATTGGGATGGTTAAGAGAGATCTCTGGGAACAATTTTCATCAAGCATACATCTCTTATAAGCAGAACAGTTTCAAGGATATGTGCATTTGGATCATTGCAATTAAAATAGAGTGGAAATTCTAAGACAATCTCTACAGGGCAAATGGAAACTGAGGGAACTATGACTCTAACAAGGCAGGGCCATGACAACTACCAGATGAGCACTCCTGTAACAATGGCAGGCTTGGCATTGCTACTTACTACAGTAGATGATCAACCATCTACAGACAAACATTGGCTCAACCCCCACCCCTCAAGTCAAGATGGCTACTTGCTTCCGTGAGGAAGCTTCAGGGACTAGTGAATCGCATTTGCTCCAATCTTCAGTCTAATATGGAAGCTATGGCCCTGATGTATTCGGGAGGCACAGGGCTTCCCCCACCCATCTCCCACTCCCCCACCCCCACTCCAGGAAGACCTCAGGGAATAGCAGACCTAATGAGCACCCCTCAGGACACTAAGGTCAAACAGCACTCAAGACATTCCATTGCCTCAATCTTCTCTGAGCCTTATAATGAAAGCAGCCCTCTGAGAAGCGCACCGGAGGGTCCCATCCCACTTCTGCCCAATTTTCAGGGATTTGATGAAGTTAAAAAAAAATTCGGTATTTAAAATATGTTTTTATTCATACGATTTAGCCTGAAGTGGTTGCGTAATTCCTGAGGCCCTGTGAACGTAAAAGATGCTCATTTAACAAGAGGGTCTTAACCTACCAGCTCATAGTTTTAAAAAAGTATTTCTTTTGTTACTGATGTGTTCCTTCCATATCATTATTCATCATCGCGTCTCTTGTAAATGGTCTTCATGTCACTGATTCACTTTCCTGCTAGGTGATCATCATTTCTTATGTTTGTTTCTATTATTATACATTATGTATATTATATATACATATATAATGTATATTATATATATATAATATGTATATTATATATACATCTATTATGTTTGTTTCTATTAGTAAGGAGAAGAGCCTACAGCTGAATTTTTATTTGTGTGTTTTATAACTTCCTCTTGACCAAACTCTTTTATTGCCTCTACTAAGTTTTTTTTTTTTTTAAAGATTTTATTTATTTATTTGTCAGAGAGAGAGAGAGGGAGAGAGAGCGAGCACACGCAGACAGAACGGCAGGCAGAGGCAGAGGGAGAAGCAGGCTCCCTGATGAGCAAAGGCTCCCCGATGAGCCCGATGCGGGATTCGATCCCAGGACGCTGGGATCATGACCTGAGCCGAAGGCAGCTGCCCAACCAACTGAGCCACCCAGGCGTCCCTGCCTCTACTAAGTTTTTAAGTGAGGTGTCTTGGATGCTCTGAGAAGACAGGAATATTTTCTATAATATTCTCTTTCTTCTTTTCCAGTATTCATATACCTTTTCCTTTCCTTGTTTACTGGCAGGTTCAAGAGCGGCAGCAAGAGGACTCATTCATGTTTTCATTTGTTTCTCTTTTCAATAACATATTTTTTGAGATATCTGCTCCCTTAGAGTGTGCCACTCTGTGGTTTTTAGCATATTCATAGCATTGTGCTTACTGTTCTCACGCATCCATCAGCACGATCAATTCTGAAACATTTTGTTTGCCCCACAAAGAAACCGTGTACCCAATAGCATTTGCTCTTCACTTCTTCCCCAACCACTTCAGCACTAGGCAACCAGTGGATTTGCCTATTCTGGGCTGGTTTCCTTCACTCAGCATCATGCTTTCAACCCATGTCTCAATCCAAGTTGATCCAATGCGTCAGTACTTCATTGCCTTGTATTGCCAAGTAATACCCCATTATAAAGATACAGATTTATCACATTTTATGTATCCATTTGTCAATGGATGGACGTTCGGACTGTTTCTACTTTCTGGCTATTAGGAATAATGCTGCTATGGACGTTCTTGCACAAATTGTTGTGAGGACATTCATTTTCATTTCTCTTGGGCATACACATATGTACACACACATACACACATCCAGATGGAAATGCTGTGTCATACCCTAACTCTGTTTAACATTGTGAGGAACTTCCACATTATTTTCCAAAGTGGTTGTACCATTTTATAATCCTACTACCAATGTATGAAATTCCAATTTTTCCATGTCTTTTAAAGTTTATTTATTTTTTTTAAATATTTTATTTATTTATTTAAGAGAGAGAGAGAATATGAGAGAGAGAGCATGAGAGGAGAGAGGTCAATGGGAGAAGCAGACTCCCCACTGAGCAGGGAGCTCAATGCGGGACTCAATCCCAGGATTCCAGGATCACGACCCGAGCCGAAGGCAGTCTCCCAACCAACTGAGCCACCCAGGCGCCCAACCACATCTTTGACAACACTTTTTATAATCTCTCTTTCTGATTACAGCCATCTTAGTAGGTGTAAGAGAGTATCTCACTGTAATTTTGATTTGCATTTCCCCAATGATTAATGATGTTGAGCATCTTTTCATGTGTACTTCTATTTTTAATGGGAACACTCCAATATTTCACCATAGAGTTTGATGTTGATACTTTTTTTAATCACATTGTCGAAGTGACCTATTCTTCATTAAGAATTTTGAATTAAGAATTCACTAAGAATTTTGATTTTTTTTAAAGCTTTTAGATATTTATTTATCAGAGAGAGAGAGTGCACGCCCACAAGCAGGCAGAGTGGCAGGCAGAGGCAGAGAGAGAAGCAGGCTCCCCGTCAAGCAAGGAGCCGGATGTGGGACTCGATCCCAGAACCTAGGATCATGACCTGAGCCGAAGGCAGCAGCTTAACCCACTGAGCCACTCAGGCGTCCCAAGAATCTTGATTTTTAAAAATCAAGAATGAACACTGTGCTTTTTAAAATATGTATTTGGATGATTATTTGCTTTTTACTTTAGTCCTATATTACAATAGCAATAGAGTTCTTAATCTTTAAACAAGTCTTGGATTCTCAGGATCGGTGTTTTAATATTTCTTATATTTTACCTGTTATAACTGTTCTATTTTCTGTTTTGTTTCTGCATCTATGCTTTTAAGAGAGACTGACATGTACCAGCCTGTTTGTTCTACTTTTATCAGGCTAATTCACCATGATTATGATAACATTCATTAATCAGGAAGATTTCATCATACACATAATTTTTGAAACAAATATAGATACTTCTTAGTACAGAATTCTTTAATAATTCTTTCCATTTCTGATGTAGTTATGTATCTACTCAATGTTACCATTTTTTAAAAGATTTTATTTTTTTAAGTGATCTTTACAGTCAACATGGGGCTTGAACTCACAACTCCAAATTCAAGAGTCACATGCTTCATGGACTGAGCCAGCCAGCTTCCCTTCCATATTACTGTTTTTTTACTAAATCTTGTTTTGACGTGTATTTTCTTTACAAATTATCTTCTAATGGATGGTTTTCAAAATCTTAGATACTTTTAATTCTTATCTGTGGATGACTCCCTCCCTCTTCATTCTTTCTCTCATTCCCAAACTGTGAATTACATTTTTACTTTCTTGTGATTACACAGGCAAAGCGTTTTCTTCAAAGGAACGAGTCCTGGATCTACAGACTTAAGATTTTTTTCTCTTTTCTAATTGTTTAATTTCTGCTCCTTTGCTAGTAATATTTCAGCTTTCCTTGATATGGCTTTGTTTTTTTCTTCGTTCATTTCTGAACTCTCAGGTTTGAGTCAGTCCACTCATTGTCATTCTTTTTGTTTAATAACAAAAATAACAAGTTTTAAAGTCCAATGATTTTCCTCCAAGTATATCTTTGGCTGCACCTTATTAGTTATATTTGCAGTATTCCTGCTCCTCTTGCTTTCTAGAAGAAACTATAATTGCATTTTTTATTGCTTCTTTGACCCAGGAGTATTTAAGGAGAATATTTTTCAATTCCCACATGATCAGATCATTTTATTTAAACTTTTGTCATTAAATGTTCTATTCTGAACTAACACGAGAAAGGTCTTATGGAAGAGAGTTGTGGGAGAAAAAAAGCAAGGGGATATATTATTTTTGGAACATTTCTATGGGAAAATACTTATTTGCATGCTAAAATATAACTACTTAAATTAAGTGGAGGTTCAGGGGTGATACAGTCATTAGCAGTATCTAAAAATGGACTGTGGATGATTTTCCCTGCCCTTGGGACTAAGGAGACAAAACTTTATTGGGATAATCAGATTGAACAAAAGGTAATATTTTGAGGCAAAAAAAAATTAGTATGGCTTATTCTCTCCATAGAAGTGAAAGAAAACTATACCACTCAGATTATTTTTAGAAAGTCTCAGTGAAACAGAACGAGGTTTGCAGATGGTGGTAGATTAGAATACTTAATGAGATTTTTTTCCATGTCTTTTTGTTAACTTTGGCTGCTGTTGCAGGAAAATTACATTTCAAAATTTGG